CCGAGTTGCGAGAGCATAAACCCGAAACAGAAGCTACAGAGAAGCCTAAATAATTAGCTACACTGTTCCTTAGTGAAATATACCCCCCAAACCCTAGTCCCTTTGTGTTCCTTATTATTATCATGGTATAATCTACCCCCCCAAACCCTACTCTAATTCTTAAGGCCCATACATAAAAAAAGCAAGGCCGAGGGTCAGATCTCCACGTCCGCCGCCTGGTGCGTCTTCTACGGCGCGGGCATCATCGGCACGCTGGTCCTGTATGGCATTCTGCAGGAGCGGTAGGAGGGTTTACAGTAGGGTCCGTTAGGATAGGGTTCAGGCAGCAAAAACGTGCTCAGGTGGCACTGGTCCCTTTCCGCAGGCATGACTACAAAGCCTGTTTCAAGAAAGCGGCATTGAGCCTGGCAAATCCGAGGGCCCTTCAGGTTTGTTATTATGACCCTGATTCTACCTCACACCCCGTGCCCGGGTACTCTGTGTACATAAGCCGCATGAGCCTTTTCCTTCTTTTGAAAAGGGAGGGGATTCTGAATATTGGGGCTCCTGATTGCAACGACTGTCTGCGGCGCCACACATGTGGGAAAGGCAAAAGGTATTTGTTGTTGTTGTTTCAGTACAGAATCTACGTAGGTTTTGGCTTCAAAGGTTTATGTAAGTTAGGGTGCCTTTAGCCAGACACTGTCAAATCGACTCGTGTGCTCCCAAGTGCACGAAGGCCAAGGTGGATGTCATACTGGAGTCATTTGTCTCGCACAAGACCCGCGCCAACACCCTTAAACTTTAAACCCTAAACCTGTCTTCGCCCAGGAGGGTATCATGACGGTGGCCTATGATGGAAACCTCTTCCAGTACTCCGTGTTCCTAGCCGCCGCCTCAGTGCAGAATGGTTTGTGCCGATTTGCCTGCCGCCGGCAGGGCGCAACCAACCCAAGAAGAGTTTGAGTCTCAAGGTTTACTTGCTACTGTAATCTACTTGTTGCTACCCTCCCTATGTAACCACTTGTGTTGCAAGAATCCCCCCGCAGAACATATCGCGCTCCAAGTTGTAAGGCCAGTATATCTATCTATCTATCTACCTATTCATCTACCTACCTACCTACCTACCTACCTACCTACCTATCTATCTATCCATTTATCTACCTATCTATTTATCTATCTATCTATCTATCTATCTATCTATCCAACTACATGCATACAGACACGTACACATTTATATCCCTTTTACCTACATACATACATGCATACATTGGATAAACGTGTTAGTGTTTACATGTATGATTATAAGAATTTCAGTTTTTCTTATCTACGTATTCTCTTGTTTGTAGACCCGGAGTTGTAGTTGCTTGACGGTCATACCCTGGATGGCCAGGTTCAGTTCAGGCCGGCAGATATCCTTTTCGAGGGAACAATTCTGCCGAGGTTTCAGTGACCGCGATAAATTCTGCGACATGCTTTAAACAAAGATCCGTTGGCCCCAACTTTTTTAAACTTCTACAGTAGCCTTAACCATACCCGAAAAGTGTAGACTACAGTACTTATTAAGCTCCCCTAAAGCCTGACAGCTGAAGGTGCTTTGCAATCGACTGGCCGCTGTCGTATTCGCCGTGGGCATGACGGCCGCCAAGGCATGACATTCAATGCGGCTCCTCTCTTACAAGCAATGTAGGCCCCTGAATACTAAGGGGTTTTGGGGGCATATTATAATTGTAAGGAGCAGCCCCAAAATAGTATTGGTAATTATTTAGGCCACTATCATACGTGCTAATGTGGCAGGGGGAATCTACGATGGCATCACTTGAACTGGAGAGTTTGGAGGTCTGTGTGCAAAGGTAGGTGGCTTAGTCGCTTAGGCAGCCAGAACTAACTTCATGCTTCACTCTTGGGGAAGCCATTTCTTGCAAAAGGGTGGAGCATCAATTCCGAAAACTCCTGAGTCTTGTGCCTGTACATTAGGTCATCCTGTGCCTTGCCTAAAAAGAGTCACAATCCTGAGATGGCCTGAACTTGCCTCAGCCTTGAGCGTCCTTGCATATGCTCTGTACACTGCACGTCCGGCCGAACAAATGGGCTACAAGGGAAACCCACGCAAGACCTAAGAGCGGGAACCCCAAGCTCAGAATCCTTATAAATCCTAAACTGGCCTGCATGTTAACGTTAGATCCTCAGCCCACTGTCGCTGCAGGGCGAGTCCATGCAGAATGCTGCTCCTCTTTGGAAGTATCTCATCGTCTCGCTTTCCAACGTTTACGCCAGCTCCTGTGCCAGGGCCTGCAGAGATTTCGGTCTTAGGGTCTTGGTCTTGAGACTTCTGCGAGCACAGTAGATGCCAGTCTCAATTTGGGTCCCCTTTTAGGTAGTACGGCACCCTAAGGGCCTAAGGGACCCTAATTTAGAGAACTACCCACATGTAGGCTCCCTCCTTCAATCGGGATATGAGTGTTGACAAGGGGCCCCATGCACCATTTAGTGCATTGGCCTGCTTATTAAGAAGGAGAGCCTAACCAGCACCATGTGGCTTGCACTCCAATCTCACAGATCCTCGCATGAATTGGGGCATTAACCGTAGGAAGTCGAAAGTGATCAGAATCTGAATCGGATGGGTCGAGACCATGCATGATGGGAGAAAAGGCTACAGTTACATGAGTTGTGTCCTGACCGAGACTAGTTGCTCCATCGAACCGGGTAACCTGAAGAATGAGAGCCGACTGCACAAGGGCTCAGACAATACCCTTTAGAGACTTGTTTTGGGGGTGACATCTTTTGTCCGGCTTGTGCTCCACAGCTACAGCGACAGGCCAGTACGAGGCCCTGAAGTACGTCTCTTTCGCGGTCCAGATGCTGGGGAAGAGCTTCAAGAATCGCGACTGCATGCATGCATGCAGGTTTTTGCTCTTCAAACAGCTCACTCACTTGATTTTAAATCTAAGCAGAAAAGGAAGACTCTCACATATGCATGCCGAGCGATCGGGACTGAAGAGCCGATCGCTTTCAGGAAGCCTCGTCACGGATCATGCATGATGAGGCTTCTTCAGCCGCTGCCGGTTTGATATGCTGGATGTAGACGAGTATCACTGTCGGAGCTGTGGCAAGTGACCAGAAAACAGCACTAGCAACGATGATGACGACCGCTGCCTAATACTGCCGCTGGTGCAACTACTACTGCCGCCGCTGCTGCTGCTTCCTACTGCAACAAATGTCGGAGCGCGAACAGTGATACCAGTAATTCATGCTGACTACCCATTCTACTACTTCTGTCACTCCTGCTGCCGCTGCTTCAACTGCCGCTACTAGTCTTTCGAGCTTCCAGACCACGAGTTCCTTTGCGTTGGAGAGTACTCAGTCACCTTTCCTCCGGAAGTTCGTTCAAGGTTCAAGGGGCAGCGCAGCTCACAACAAGAGTCGGCGGAATGCGACCCCTATATCTTGAAATTCGGAAAGAGTCGAGGCTAAGTGTTTCGAGTGTTAAAATGCCTTTGATAAGACACTTGCAAGACCTTAGCAAGCCTTCCAAAAGCAAGGATGATGCCCGTCATGATCTGGGGCATCATCATCGCCGGCAAAGCCTACAGCGGCCGTGACTGGCTGGTGCCGCGATCTCGATTTTCAGTCATTGGTGGAACACCGTCCGACCGCCTGCTTCTTATAGGAACCGTTTCTCAGAGATTACGGCTACAAGGCGGTCACATAGCAACAATGTAACAACTACGCTAGAGGGTCGTCTAGGCAATCACGGCAGTCTTTGCGGAAGGACGGGTCCAGAATCTACAGTTCCGAAGATCTTTCTGAGAGAGCAAGGCTTCTGTTTTAAATCCTAAACACTAAGCCCAAAGCTCATGATCTTTAGTCCTCACCCTTCGCCATCATGTCCTCTTTCGAAGCAGACCCTGATCCTAAGCCGCCTTCAGACCGAAGTAGATCATCCTGCCATGCAGGCTTTAGCTATGCCTGTTGAGTCTGGTAGACTATGCCACAAAGCCCTATTAAATTGCTCAAGGCCCCCATGTCAAAATATGAGACCCAACCTCGGGGGTGCATGGGCGGCAGACTGTTTTCGGCGATGCGCATGTTGTCCTCGATTTTTCCCGGGTGGTCAGTTTATGAATACTCCTGACATCATGCATCCTGCTTCCAGGCATCTTGTTGACTTCGGCTTTTACCGTAGGAGCCACAACTGTGCATAGGCGCACCAATTATGCAAGCAAGATCCCAAGCCTCCAACACCCACCCCGCCTCCCAAAATAAAGCAACGTGCAGGTGGCGCTCACCGTCACTCTCGGATGCACCGAATTCCTCATGACGGGCCCTACCCATTCCAAGGTGCACCCGCCTCGACTACCCTAACAAAGCCCAGCAGCCAGAGCCTGAACCTTCCAGGCCCTCCAAGCCTTGTGTGGGTTATTTTCTAAATTGGGCTCCCTTTTTATAGGTCCCAAATATAGTACAGCACCCTTCTAAAAACGACCCTTAAAGGGACAATTTAGAGAATAACCCATGTAGCACCTGAAGTTAAGCCGCAAGAGCCCGACACTACTCGCTTTGCCGCAAAACCCCAAACAGGAACCAGCTTGATATGGTAGTCATTTGAGGTAAGGCCAATGTTCAGCTCAGGCCCCAAAGCTTAGAGTTCGGATATTTTCGAAGAGTGCACGATGTTTCGAATTTAGACCCTCCAAATCAAGGAATGCTTCTTCAATCATATTTGGTGTCCTTTGTTCCAGCTAAGGAATATGTCCCCCGGTAGTGATGGGGAATTGGAAGATCTGTCTGGGACGTCTAGGGGTTTCCCGCAGGTGGACGCTAGCAACAGCTTCAAGGGCTTCTTGCTGCTGGGCTGCTTCCTTGCCTTGGATGGGCTCACTTCCACCTTCCAGGAAAAGCTGTTCAAGGACCAGCTCCTTTGGGGCCCAGTCAAGCGTTCCAGAAGGAAGCGTATAAAGGGTTCCTACAAGGAGTCCAGGCTAGCGGGACTGTTTTTGAGGGTTTTGGAAGCAAGGTTTCAGGGCATAGCGAAGTTTGCAGCTTTTGAGCCCGAGCACGCGCGCGGGAGAGAGAGGCATGGGAGAGTGAGGAGGTCGTACCATAGCTTTTGTGTAAGATCACCGTAGTAAACCTAAACCCTAAACCCGAAACCCCTAAACCCTAAACCCTACCCTAGTTGTGTAAACCGAGAGTCCAGCAACCCCAAGCCACTGTGCACGCCCAAAGTGGGCAGGGAGTCTTTGAGCAAAAGTCTTCCCAATGCACCCTTAAAGAAAAGCGACCCTTGCTAATGTAGGGGCTTAAAGAATTACCTATACCAGTTTGGGGGGTATCTTTTATTATAGCTATAGTATAATATACCCCAAAACCCCATTCTAATTATTAAGGTCCCTACAGTTATAGTATAATATACCCCCAAACCCAATTCTAATTATTAAGGCCCCTACATTAGGCAGAGGGTTCTCCAAGAGCCCAGAACATCGGCTTGGTTGGGCACCGCGAGACGGACCTGAATTTAAAGCCTTAGTACATGGGTAGTTCGCTGAATGAGGGCCCCCTTGAGGGGTCCTTTTTAAAAGGGTGCCGTACGATTTGGGGACCTAGAAGGGAACACTAGTTTAGAGAAACCGCCTACGCTTGGGCTGAACCGGGCTTCTCGACCTTCACAAACTAGAAAAAAGGTATGTTGCTGCCTTATAGCCTCGACAAAATATAGAGCTCTCCTCCTCTCAAGAGACACCATGTTCCGGGATTGATGTACGGCAGGAGCACAAAACGACAAAGTACAACCAGATGCTCTACATCAACCTCCTCTCAGCGACTGTGTCCTTCATCACCTTGCTGGCAACAGGCGCGGCTCCTTTTGAGTGTGCTTGGCAACCAGGGATCGAACATGCATTCACTACTGCCATGCAACCTGAGAGCTCAAAGCCCCGTAAACCGTCACACCCTGAACAGCAAGACTTGAATGCTAAATTTGGGCGAACCCTCTGGAAAACAATCCCAAGTCCCGGGCCTTGGGTACAAGTTCGAGCAGCAAACCCTCCGGTGACGTGATATATAACCTTGTATAATGAAGCTATAATATGTCCAACAAGAACTGAACCCTAGTCGCAATTCCTTAAACCTCAGTGGGCCTTAAACGCCGGCGAAGTGGAGGTCATGCAATATTAATTGGAGTCCCCATATTGTAGCCTTCTAAACCTATGTAGTGAAGCTATAGTAACTATAGTATACCCCAAAATGATTTAAACTCCAGTGACCTGGAGGTCAGCTGGCTCCGGCGGTGGCATTTGGCTTCGCTCATCCACAGTTCTGGTTGGTCGGGGCCTTGGGCTTCGGGTTTAGGGTTTGGGATTTGCAAATCCTGTCTTATCATAAGGGCTTTAAAGTGGCAGGTTTGATGGGGGGGTTGTAGATGGATCTGTTGGAGTTGTGTTGTTGGATTTGAAGTTCAGGGGTTTGGGGTTGAGAGCTAGTGCGCTTAATGGAAAGGCTCAGTATCAGGTAGTCAGAAGATGTCAGAAGCCAAGACAATTCTTCTTGAGCCTTTGTGAAACCGAGCCGGATTGCCGTCAAATCGCGGGGGGGCCTCGTCATCACGCTCCGTGGTTGCAGGCGGTACGGTGCCGGTGTTGGTACGGATGGCAGCGGTCGAGATGGTATACTAAGCCACTAAACCCCCTGAAACCTAAAGCCCAACCTTCAAGCTCTCAATGCCCGACGTTCTCGAAGCTCAGGATGCTAAAGCCAAAACCCCAAACCCCAGAGCCCTGAAGCCTGAAGCCCCGAACCCCCTAAGACCCTCCTCCTCGAGAAGCGGTCAGGATTCTGCTTTGCTCAGCGGTTCTGCGGTTGCGAGCCAGTTCTTCATCTACTCGCAGATCAAGGCTTCAAGGGGAGGGGAGCCACTGAGAACCAGGGACTTAGCAAAAGTAGGATCCTTATTATAAGGGCCCCTAAATAACCCTAAACCCTAAACCCTAAACCCTTATTATAAGGGCCCCTAAATAAGGTACCCCTAATAAGGGTTTGCGGCATGGTAAGTACAACTTGTAATCTCGGCTGTGGCTCCCCATGATCCTCCGAAGGATCCATGTACCCAAATAGTTTCTACTTTGGCCCCAAAGTACCTATGTAGGGACTACTTTAAGGCCGAAGTATCTACTATCTGGGCACATGGACCCTTATAAGGGCATAGTACGGGATTCGGGGGTAAACCCCAAACCCCTAAACCCCTAAACCCTAAAACCCTAAACCCTAAACCGCGGGATTCGGGGTATGCGGGCTAACGTTAAGGGCTTTGTCTTGGCTTGTCGGTTTGATGTTGCAGCCTCAGGAGCGGACGCTCGCTTTTCCAGTCCTAAGTTCACTAATGTAGGCGCCTTATCATAATTCTAACAGGGTCTTGGGGTACCTTATACCAAATAAAACTCTACCGGTAGTATAGTTAAAGCTATATGTAGTAAGGAACCTTAAGGAATAATATGGGTAATGATCTAGGCCTCTATATTGTTAGTTGTAACCAAGGCCCTCATTTGCTTCCTGGCCCGGCCCACACACTTACACCGGTGTATAAAATCTTTATTGCACCCTGCGCCCTAAAGTCTAAGTAAACACCGAAATGCAGAGGGGCGGTGAACATGATGCAGTCAAAATTCCTTCCCCTCACGCACTCGACAAGCGAAATCATGGTCTATCTATATACATACATATATATATATATATCTATATAGATATGTATAGATGTACACACATATGAAACCACGAGGTCATGTTGTAGACCTTCCTCGTGCCTTTCAACCCCAGACTCAAAGGCCAGTCAGCAACAACCAAATTTGCAATTTCGCGTAGACAGTATATAGTGAAGCCCAAAATTAAAAAGTTGGACACCAGATTAAGGACAAATAGTGCTGGGATTCCCTATACAGTACTCCCAAAGATCGAGGCTATTGGGTTTCCAACTTTTGGGCTTCTGTAGTAGCATGGTTGTCATTTCGCTTGTCCGTCCTGGTGTTACGATCTGCGTCGATTGGTGGACCGTAAACCCGGGACCATGAATGCCCAACCGTACATGACTAAACTCTGCGGTTCTTAATCGGATGGAGTCTGACCAAAGGATCATGGGACTTAGTATGTAGGGTTATAACTAAGGTAACTATAACCCCAATTAGGGGACTTATAACCATACTTACCAAGTCCCATGATCCTCCAAGCAGTGTTCCTCTTCGTCATTTCCAGGAGTTCGGCGCATTGGTCTTCGCAGCGACGATGAACGTCCGTCAGGAGGGCAGGGCAGCAAGCGCCCTAAACCCGAATCAAGAAACACATCTTCAAACTGTACAGCCTGCTGGCAGGGTCCCCGGAGCTATACTGTATCTGAGCATCTTCGAATGTAGAATCGTCGCAGCAGCCACACTTACATCTCTAATCCAGGCATGTATAGTATTCATGTGTAGCGACTGGGCCGCGAGAGTACTTCACCTGGATCTTTACGTGTTTTTCCTGGCCGAATCAGATGTTCCACCTTGGTTGTCCTACACGGCCAAGTTCGTTTGGGAAATATACACATTACGTCCCCTGCTCCTTATAACTAATATTGAACAGGCAGAACCCTTCTACATGTATGAGCATGCAGTCAACCGCCATTTTTGAGGAAGACGCCCCGCGGCAAGAGAAAATGGCAATCATATCAATCCAAACAGGTTCCCAGCTGTAGGCTGGGTCCCAAGTTTCCCAAGTACAAGCAACCGAAGAGAGCCGTCAAGGGTGTGGGAGACATGTCAGGATTCCATGGTTTTGGGCGTTTTGGGTGTCGGATCCCTGATTTCGCTTTGGTGCTGGGGTTTCGGAGTCTGGGGGCAATTTGAAGCTCGAAAATTGCGACAGAAGGAGGTCCACCTAAATCCCGAAAGCCCTAAACCCTAAACCCATAATTCTAAATCCTAAAAGCCCCCAATATCTGTCTCTATCTCCGTCTCTATCTCTATCTATCGATCCCTCTACACACACACACATATATATATATATATACATATTATGTCATTATATGTATATATATATATACATAGGTGTACGCATGCACACACGTAAAGATACACATGTGTTTATCTATACATATACTGCACGCCATACGTACACATATGCATACACCTGAACCTACACATACACATGCCTGCACAAATCCATAGCACGTTCCTTTGGGCTTCGGGGAAGCACTATGTTCTCGATGCGGTGGTTCCGAAGTTTAGGGTTTAGGGTTTAGGGTTTAGGGTTTAGGGACCCTAAACCCTAAACCCTAAACCCGAAGCCGCGGTGCAGGTTGTGTCCATCCTGGTGTCATACCTGAAGCTGCTTGGACGCGGGATTTAGCGTTCAGCCTGCGGCATGAGGATCCCCAACCCTCCAGGTACCTACTATATAGGGCCCTAGGGGCTCTAGTGCCATATATAGTAGGTACTTGGGGGGTTAGGGGATGACAGCATTATCGCCATCGGGCTGGAGCTTAAGGCTATAGGATCAAATGCCGGATTTACGTGGGTAGTTTCAACGACGGTATACCTTCTGCAGTCCGAGCTTCGGTGCCCTAGATAGTGGGAACACTACAGCAAGGTGCAACGCAAAAAAGCGCTAGCGCCTATCCCAGTATTAGTGTTATCTGCAGAAACTTGCGTCATGGCAGGAGTGACAGTGCATAAATCAGGGTACCAACAGTATATATATATATATATGCATGAACCGAACAGCGAGAACTGGATATGTATTCATATGTCTCGCTGTTGCTTTGTTTTCAGTTTTACGCACACATGTCTGCAAATATGGGTACATGCACATCGCATACCGGTTGAATCAGGGGCACGGTAACCGTATAGACTGCACAGGGTCAGTACTGAGATACGTACAGCCCACGAGCTCACTTTGCACAAGTGTGGCACCATTATTGGTATTGGGCATAGCCAACCTCCTGCACATTTCACCACATACCGCGACGCTCTCGGGACTCTCTCTCTCTCTCTCTCTCTCTCTGTAAGTCTCGGTTCGAAAGCCCAAAGCTCCGAGCGTGCGAAGCAACAATGGCAAGCCTTAAGGCTGCGCCTTTGCGCCAAAGAAGCCTTAAGCTCCCCTATAAGCATCATCTTTGCAACTTTGCATAGCGAAACCGTCGTCCTAACTAAAGCCAAGCCATGGCAGAGCCTCTCCAGACTTTGTTGCCTGAAAACGATCCAGGTATCACAATCCGGTGACACCGCTTCAAATCCTCGGCTTGGCGCAGGGCTCAGTACTGCCGCAGGGTTTCCCGCATGATTTTAGGGTTTATGGTTTCGGTGGTTTGCGAGAGAAAGCGAGGAGATTGTGTAGCTTTTAGTTTTTTGGCTCGGGGGGTTCGAGTTTCTGGTGGCAGATGTTTATGCATGCCTGAAACAAGATGCCTGGGGTGAGCGGTGGTTTTCAGGCTGCCTGCAGGGTTCTTTCATTGCTTCATGGCTTGTGATGATTTCTGTGCTTGTCGTGCTACGGCTACGGCTTTTCGTGAGCACGATCGTTTGTCTCGGCGTTGGGGTGCGACATGCTTTGTTTCAAACACCGAGGGACCCCAAGCTGGACAAAACTCCAGGGATCCGCCCCCTATTTTCTAGAAGCTCTTGTTTTTTTCCAGTTGCACTCCCTCCTGCAATCCGTACACGCCAAGCCCTTTAAATTAGCAAAAGAGCTCCAAACCCCGAACTACCGCCC